TTAGGGTTAAAACTATAAAACTCTTAGAAGAAAACAAAGAAGTAAATCTTTGTGATCTTGGGTGAGGTAATGGTTTCTTAGATACTACAACAAAAGTACACATGAGCCCCTCAAAGAAGATAAATTGAATTTCATCAAAATTAAAAACCTTTCTCTGCAACCTATACCATCAAGAAAGTGAGAAGGAAACCTACATAATGGGAGAAAATATGTGGAGATCATGTCTGATACAGGACTTATATCCACAATATATGAAGAACTCTTACAACTCAACAATAAAAATAAAATAGCGCAATATAAAAATAGGCAAAGGGTTTGAATAGACATTTCTCCAAAGAAGATAAATGGCCAATAAACACACAGAAAGATGCTCAATATCATTAGTCACTAGGAAAATGCAAATCAAAACCATGATACCACGTTACCTCCATTAGAATGGCTATAATAAAAAAGAAGGCAATTGAGACAAATGATAACCATTTTTAGTGATGATGTAGAGGTATCGGATGCTTCATATCTTGCTGGAAACAGAACAGCAGCAACACCCCTGACCCCTCTCACTAACCCCATCCAGTCATCATCCCCCTCAACCGGTAACAACTGTCCTGACTTGTAAAAGCACAAATTAGTTTGACTGTTTTGGAAGGTCATATAAACAGAGCCTCTCAAAGCCTCTACTCTTTTGTGTTGGCTTTTTTTCGTTCAGCGTTATTTGTGAGATTTTTCCATGTGTGTGTGTAGTTGTGGCTCATTGAGGTGTTATCATGAAGAGACTCTACCACCACGACCCATTCTGCACTAGACAGGCATTTGGGTGGTCTCCAGTTTAATCCACGTGCTCTGGTTCTGCGTTGGAGCACCTGGAGAAAAGTAGGTCACTCTCCCACAAAGGACCCTCAGATTTCTCCCTTCCTCCTCTCCCCCTGCCAGGGCCTATCAGAGCTGAAGCTGGAAGAGCCTGGGGAAGTCCAGCTCCATTCATTTCCTGTTATCCTGCAAACTCACAACAATTCTGAGCTTCCGGCAGTTTCATCATGGAGGAAACCCAGGCTGGGGGACCATCCTGGTAAATGAAGCTTTGAGAGAAAGGTGGGTAGAGGGGATGGCTCTGGCTGAAGGACATACTCTCACCCACGGGGTATCTCTGATAATGGAGGTCATCTTCCTTCTCTTCTGCAGTGAGGTTGGGGGCAGCAGGCTTCCAGGCTCTGCCAGCTCTTCTCATTCCCACCTCCATCTACGCTGAGGGGCAAGAACGTGCAGCAGAGCCCCTGAGTACAAAGTATGTCTGTGAAATGGGAGTTGGGGCCATACCCACTTACATTTACCATGTGGGACAACTTAAAACATTGCCCAGCACAAGGTGAGGGCGGCTTTGGCAGACTATGTTCTAACTCAAACTGTGCCATGTACCTGCTGTGTGATCCTGGGAAAGTTTCTAATCTCTCTGAGCTCCAGTTTCCTCACCTGGAAAATGGGCACAGCAGTGTCTTTGTTATGGTGTGGTTGTGAAATGAAATGAGATAACAACCCAGTGCCTGCCACACGGCAGGACCTCAGAGGATGGGAAATCTTCTCAGTGGAATGTGCACTCCAGCATC